ACAATAAGGCTTTCAAATAAGTCATGGTTGTACGGCAGTGAAGCATCGGTGTTGAACACTGATGTCATGCTGTCGATGATGATGATGATTTGTCAACATGTCACTTAACAGTTGATTAGTGGCCAAAATTCTGTCGATGCAGTCAAAACCTGAGCAACATGCTAGCCGGCTACCATTAAGCCGTTTGGCAAATTTTTGAGTCCTCCAAACGCAGGTTGACATGAAACAAGTGTCTGGAAAAGATTAATGTTTAAACCAAAACAGGATGCTGTTGACACTGCAGTCGCGCTTGAGAATGTTGCAATAAGGTACGATTGTCCGTAAAAAAAACATTTAGCTGGCAAGTAGGCCTTTTGAACTGAGGTGGTCATCTAGTAGAAGTTGAAAGGCGACACAAGTTTTGGATTTGGAAAAGACTCTTGCATCTCGCAGTCATAAACAGGCCGAATAACGTTGGGAATATAACGCAGTCTTGTTTCACTCCTGTATCAGTGTTCAATCTGAGGACGTAGTCCAGTTTCACAAGCTATCCACACTAGCCTGCATCCCAGAGCGAAAAGACGTACTAAGTTTTCTGGATAGCGCGTCTTCCGAAGAACAATTTAAAATATCTCTCTGTTAACTGAATTAAGAGATAATGTGGAGTCAGCGAATGTGACATAACAGTGGGAGCATTTCTCGGTGAGAATATTAAATCAACATTCCTCCGCCCGCTCCGGGATCCACACTATTAGACTGGGATGACTTCATTCAAAATGCCCGTATTTACGCCTTGAAGGACAATGAGGAAACAATCTTTTAGTCCTGGGAACATCCTCAGCTTCCCATTGCAAAAGAGCTCAAGATAAATTAACGGTCAAGGCACGAACACCAGAAAGTTTGTGGTTTAAATCCAACCTCGCCATCTCAACGCTCTTGCATCCTTCGGGAGGCATGGCGGCTATAAACCGAAAGGGTGCTACAGCTGAACGATATAAACCGAAAGGGTGCTACAGCTGAACGATTACTTCGTCACATTTTGAACAGTTCGGTGAGTAACCTGTCATTTCTGCAGATTCTTGTTTTACATTTCAGGTATCGCGACAGAACTGACAGTGTGCTGCTTCCCTGTAGGTTGCGGTATTTGGTTCAGCTGACTCTTTTGGATTTCGGATGAGAAGGTTGGGTAGTGTGGGAATGCAGATTTTCCGTACATTTAACACATAATCAGTCTTAAGATTCCAACCGGAACCGACGTACTGGAGAAGTGAGGGGACATTCGCTTTTGGGCATGCAAATTGCTTACATTGCTCCAAAGAATTTTTTCTGAAGACAGTAATCGGCGAACGACTGAATTTCTTCGCTGTGTGTCATTCAGCATTCATTTTTTTATAGCTCAAATAAGCCTCCGGGTGAGAGTACTTGGGGTTCGAAACTGTTCTTGGCAGATAAACCTTGACAGGTTCTTTATACCCTACCGGAATTGGCATGTTTCTGCTCAGTCGCGGAAGAAATCACTTTCCAGGAAACCAATCCGTTCGCGTTAATTCATTCGTCCCAGTTATCACCCGTGCACACACGTGCGTTTCATTATAGTTTATTGTTCGTCCACTGACTCCATAGAATTAGTTGCTACAGACCTCGGATTTCAATTTCCAAAATTTCGCAACCTTGCCGAGCGTTTCCGTTTCCCGATTTCCAGATTGTTTTTTTGTCCCACGACAGCATAGTTTTTTCCAAGGCGAACTGCACCTTCACTTGTACCAAAGAATGGTTTGTGTTGCATTCAGCACCACTTGCCACTTTAGCAAGCAGTATTTCTTTGAGGTCTTTGTCCATCGGAACACGCAGCACAGGTGTTGCTCGAGGAAAAATGCCGGTTTTCCGCAAAGAAGCACGTTTGCGACAATTTCCCCATAGTCTCTACAACCATCCGTTTCCGTTTGGTCGCTCCCGGAGAGTTCCGCAAATGTAAAACCATTACAGAGGTAATAATGCTAAATATAGAATGCTTTAAATAGTTAATTTGGTATGTCATTCGTTTCATACAGAAATTGATCTAACATCAAGAGGGTTGGTTTCCACCCACTGTGTATAGGTGGTCCAGTTTGCATCATGTGAAACTAGACAGCATTGTTGACATACTGCCACCCCTTAATCCATTAGCTTATAGGAACAATCACGCCTGTCAAGCAGGCTTGTCGCACCGTGCTCATGGAAAAGAGGAAACTTGCCTGATCACTTGGTCGTACTGTAACAAGATTAAGTGGAATCCGCCTACGATGAACTTTTGCAGAATGCGTTATTCTCCGCAAGCAATTTCACTGTGACATCCACTAGCATTTCGACCACGCCCACCACAGTTATAAAAAAGAATGAACAAGAGATTCAGTTGGATTCCCAATGAGTCACCCGTCAAAACCGAATTGATATATAAATGTGCGTATTCGTCGGAATGGATGATCATTTAGATACTGTAAGCGTTTCAATTTTTATAGACTGAAAGCTGTTGCTGACGGGGATAACCTCATTGAATAATGAGAGTTGAGTTGAGAGTATCCTATGGGTGAACGGGCGCTTTCAATCCGGTGGATGATTCTCACAAGGGTATTCTAAACAGACAACCACGTTCCTATATGCTGATCGGATGATCATTGGTAGCCCTTGAATGAGACAGTAGCTATGACACGGGAAACAAAAGTTCACGAGGGGAGATATAGTTTAAACCTACTATCCTCGCAGATTAATGAACCAACATTTGGAAAGATATACGGTTCTTTTCTCCGATCCAGTTACCACACGACCAATAAACATGCCCAGATTGTGCCAAACACTAGGCATCACACCTAACACGACCATTTAAGTATGCATACACATTGCACTGCTGACCTCTAATATGATACAGTTCGATTTCACTGGAAAACATGAACGAACAATAAGCGAGGTGAACACAAATTTTCTAGGACTAAATGAGACATGATATCATTTTCCCAATATTTTAAGGAGACGGTAAGCTTCACACCAGGGGGCACTCCACTGCAGATTTAAACTGTGCATTGTCCGTGAGGAACCAATCCACAGAAGGATGTACATAACACGTGCCAGTTGTCGAATCAGCTGTAACACCTGAGAGAAGAAGTGTTCTTTATCAATGGCTTGCATGCACCGTTTGAGCCCTATCATAAGCGTCACTATTTTTCATATATATTTTCATTTATTTATTTATTATTATTTATTTATCTTACATCTTATATTATATATTATAAACGTCATCATTTTAAGTGTCATTATAAACAGTTTATGCTGCTCACAATATTTCCACAACATTCTCTGCTATCAGTGAACCGTAAATAGTGCTATGACATGGTCTGAGCACGTTAGAAAGACAGTAGAAGAGAAATTATAGCTGAGAAGCTGAGGATAAACTTTGAGGACAACTTCTGCTATCGGGAAGGTAGAAACCCGTTAAGGAGACGTTGGAGATTGACGGCTCTCAGAAGAAGCGGTCACCGCTGAGGTGCAATCTACGTAGTTACCTGATTATCCTGTGATTGATCAAGCTGCGCAGGCTGTCCCACTTTGGTAGATCCTGGAGCACCATTCATATTATTGATTCCAGCATTTTGTCGATTCGTAGTCTGAGTGGAGTTATCCTGACCACCAGATCGTTTCTTCCTATCACCAGATTTTGGTATGTTACCGTTCGCACTGTTGGCAGACTGAGAGACACTTTGAGTGAAAGTTTCGTTATCCCGTCGTTCTCGATGCAATTGCCAGAAAGGGCGTCGACGATCGAGGAAATCTTTGACGAACAAGCTGGTTCGCGCTGATTCACCCATAAATGTCTGAACCATTCGTTCCACCTGAAGTGTAGGACATCACACCTGTTAGAAACTTGTTGACAGGCAAAAAGGCACAAGAGGAAGAGAGAAACTCGTAACGAAAGAACGCACTTCGTACGGGGCATCCAGGGTTGCCAACAGCTCAACCACCGTGGGAATGTCTACCTTCTCCCTCAGTGGAACAGAACTGAGTCGTGTCTGACACCATGTCGTCAAGCGCTCTAACTCTTCCTGGGCGGTTCGATCGGAGTCGTTAGGGGAACGTGAAGAAAACTGATCTGATTTGGAAGTGGATTTGTTTGCTTTGGTTTCAGACTGATAACCGATAGATTTGACAGGGGATCGTGTGAAGTTCGTACTTGCCGCAGACTACAACGATTGAGTTGAATGGGAGGAAAGTAGACGACGGAGATAATGAGTACAGCGTGGTCAGCATGTTGGGCAATAAAGTGAATATTCGGCATTGTCAAACTGAGAGGAACTAGCACCATGACTACGTCACAAATAGAACTGCATCGTGGGGAGAAAAGTTTTAAGGTTGTCTCGATGAAATGAGAATAAGTATGCACTTTCCTGGGTGCAAATTACAGAACGAGCATGATCAGTTATCAAAGGTAGTTTACGCTCCATCTGATTACGTTACCGCCTTAACTTGGTCGACAGCCATTTGACATGCTACGTCATACTCTGACATATCCTGCCACTGAGCAACGTGGACTTTCCCAAGGTAAATTAGCGGAATATTACAGATGGCTTTTTCAGCAGGGTTTTTTGTATATGCTCACCCTGGTTGGCCGTGGTCATGGAAACTACCTCAATTGACCTACCAGGATAATCAGGTTTTGCCAAGTTGTGGTTTTAGTTTTTTATTCGCCTGTCTGAGCTCCTGTTCTGCATGAAGAACAACGTGGGTAGTGTCTAAGCAAGAAAAAGGGGATAATTCCCGGTCACTGCACTGCTGGGACGAACCCAAGAGATTGAGCCCGGCCAACATATCCCCGAAAAGTGAAGCACCTAAGCGCATAATCGTCCTCTGCAGAGTACACCACTCAACCTAATAAATAAATAAATAATCGTCCAGTTGTAGCACCCTTTCGGTGCCTAGCTGCCATGCCACACGGAGGAGGCACGAGGGCTGGGATACTGCCAGGTTGGTTGAGCCTAGACAGGGGAAGTCGAGTGGCAGAGGTCGGGTTCGAACCACGGACCTAGCTACTGCTGACACGGCCCATCATGCCCTTGAGGACAGGACAAACTGCAGCTACAGCTTATGCGTTAAGCTTGACGTCCCACCTATGACACTTGCCATCCGGTACCCAGTCTATTTCGTTTTAGGAAAAAAGTAGTACATGGCCCGCTGCTATGATCAACGTGCTAGGATGTCAGGCAAATGAGGTTGTTCGGGTAGATATTACGGAAAAGGTTGTTCCACCGCTGCACAAGGATAAGCGGCAGCTTACGTATGATAGTAGCATGGACATGCATACTAAGCGGGCATCCTTGTAGTCCTAAGATTTAATCCCCGTCGACGTATGGACGAAGCCGGATTTATGAAATACGGCCGAAATAACACTAAAAATTATTGGAAACTACAGGTATGAGTGTGGCCAGTCTAAACACGGTCTTTCGAGGACAGACAATGGCATCTCATCCAGATTGTACATTTCGGGTGGTACAACAACCCACACTAACTCGTCTTCCCCAGGTAAAGAGCAATCGTCTTTAAGCCAAGTGACTGCTAACTGTGGACTAGTGGAGTGGTCGAACAATGGTGGGGCAAGTTGATACACAGACCGAGGGTCATGCAAAAAGCATCGAGATGACTGCAATGGAACTGAAGAGATACGGATTCGATGTCGCAACCTTCAGTAAAACACGGCTTGCTGACCGAGGAACGCATCAAAAAGACGACTCAGAATCAATATACGTGTTTCCGTACTATGCCTGAGATTGACAGGCGAAGTCTATGTGACTGTGACCAATTTAAACGTTGCGCATAACAGAGGACCACAAAGACAAGTTCTACATGGAAGTCAATACTATCCCCGATCAGCTCCGAGAAGATTCTCTTGCGTGAGACGTCAATGCGCGTATCGAACGAAATCATTCCCTGTGGCTAAACGTCCTCGGATGCCATGGTATCAGGACTGTGAGAGACAATGGTGACCGATTTTTCCTATTTCGCAATCGAAGCGCTTGATATCACAGACACGACTTCGTCTGCAACAGCAGCACATTGTTACATGGACATCAATGCAGATGACGTCTTGATTTACTCTACTATGCCATCGTCCATATTCATGAACGCTCTGGAACCATCGTTGTACAGACCCAACTAAATGACGGCTAGTACTAGCTAGCCCCACACGTGTGCCTGGGGTGCGAGCCACCAGATGACCCTCTGAATGAACTCCGGGGCTCAATAATTCAGCTGTACCCACATGGATTGAGAATTCTGCATTGGTAGTCGGACATGTTGATGCACAGCCCGACCGGTTAACCTCTGGTGTTGTTCTCTAGGATTTACATCGATTACAAGGCGTTCATGTGGATGCACATACGACTGAACAGAAACGGATGAGGCATTGTATACGCGGACCCGTCGACTTCCGTCAATCTAAGAAGGGATGCCAGCCCAATACGTTTTGAAGAACCAACTCGAAATGGTCTACCAAGAGAACATTTGCCAAATACCTCAGACTGAAACAGCACACGCAATCTAAAGAGAATGAACGGGGAATCGGCAAAACGTTCCGAAAACCATTTGTGATATGAAATCAATTAAACACACAAAAATGACGCGTTTCTACAGAGCCCATTCATTTGAAACAGAGACGTGATATAAAAAAGACTTCTAAAATCCAAACGTAGGAGTAAAACAGGTGATCCACTCAAAACATATCTGATCGATATATTCAACAAGCCAACCGAGCAGACTAATGAACAAACCGTGAACACAAGAGAACAAAAAACAGTCATCTGATCTGTGGAACAGATATACGAACCTGGTTCGTGGCAGCCCTGTTGTTATGGTTAGAGCTCAGCCCGGTGCTCTTATTCGCGGTGTTCGGCGAGGTGTTAGTAACACATGTGGTGGCGCGGCCGTTCTCGGTGACCGTGCGGGTTACCTGTGACGCAGACTTGAGAGGCGTTTGTTTTACCTGGGGAGCAGACGCATGGTATCATCAATAGACAGTCGACAAACCGAAAAAAAGGTCGACTTCGCAACTACTTTTGGACAACGGTCAGTCATGTGGCGAAAATCTTTTGGAAACATTAGCGGCGATGGGTAGTAAGGAGTAAATTAATCAGCACCAAAGGCAAGGAAACAGTGGAAATGACTTAAGATACCTGTACATCCATCCATTCCAAGTACTTACACAGGGAGAGACAGCAACCGAAGGGCCAACATAAAATAATAAATGCGCATGAAGATCGAACACTACGAAACCTCTAGCGGTAGGAACAAACACTGTGACAAGTAAATAATACCTTGTGGGCCCACTGTCCGATAGTTGGAGGTGCTCGAGATGAGGGAATCTGTGCTGGTGTACCGCGATTTCGCTCTGGATGTCCGTCTTTACCATGACAGTCTTCCGTCACATCACCAGCACTCCGCCAACTAGACTGGTTAGTAGGGGAAGTATATGGCATTGGTTCAGTTGTTTGTACAGACTGAAACACGGCACCGTTAGAATGCTTCGATTTGCCCGTCGAAGTTCTGGTACTTGTGGTTTGAACAGGAGTTTTGGATTGGTGTTGACGATTCGGAAATCCGACCGGAACACGCGACTGTCCGTCTCGATGATCACCATGAGTCGAAGCATCACGGCCACTTTTGGTAGGGTATCGTCTAAAAGAATATGCACAAGAATGAATCGATCAGTTGCTAGATGAGCAAGACCACTAAAAACTTACAAGAGGCGATAGAGAAAAAGATAAACAAAACGCCATCACTTAATATAACCGAATAATTCCTGGGGCACAACGCACCCATCTCCAAAGCGCGGTGAACTTCGGGTTGCACTGTTTGTGCTGAAAAGTGGAGGCCAATTGGACTGTTGGTCCTGTCGTGCATCATCGCCCGTGTGTGCAAGGGAGTGTGACCGTGCTGCCGACTCATCATTGATAGACTTATCCAAACGACGGTCAGTTGTATCAGCTTCGGGATCGTGACCAGAATCAGCTGTACCATCCTTCTTTGAATGAGCCGCCCACTGAGGATTGGATGCCTAAAACACAGCAACCGGACTACTATCACTAGACAGTAGTGAACACAATAACATATAATCAGGTGGCTGAGTTGAGTTGGCGAGTGAATTTATCATACTATTAAAATATCCGGAACATTTGTCCAAGAACAACAGGTCCAGCCAGATTAGAATCAAAGGGTAGACGAAACTAGGAGGAAATCTACATAACTAGCCGAATAGTTTTCAGCAAACTCAGGAGTAGTTTTTTCAGGACAACTGGACGATACATTTGAAGAATGGTAACAGGGTAAATCCAGTCTTTAAGTTTCGCAATCACATGAAGAGGAAAGTGGAACAAAGAAAGTGCGCAAGGAAACGATGGACTGAACGGAGGACGAATTTGCATAATAGGTCCCATATGTAATTTGAAGAAGCAATCGTGTTGTTGACCGTTGGTTTGTTTGCCGAGCTGGGTAATTTGCTTGCAAACGTTTCATCATCAACCGAAGTGACATCATCATGTTGTTGACGTTGGTTTGTTTGCCGAGCTGGGTAATTTGCTTGCAAACGTTTCATCATCAACCGAAGTGACATCATCAGTGTTATTAGGGAACTTAGCGATGGGTCGGTCGTTGTGCCAGTGTGTGATTGTGTTGCGTTGTTCAATAAAAGTAAACTACAAAGGGGACAGTGGGGTGAGTGGCTGCTCCGAGCCCCTGGACCGTGTCGCCAGTATACATAACAAACGACAGGAAGTTGTACATTGAATAATTGTTTCACTCTAGCTATGTTAATTGCTTCGTTCGGCAAAATACGCGGTCTAAACCCGAATGTCAGCATAGTCCATCACTATGTCGCTTCTTCGGTCCCTCTAAACCGGAAACACATTGTCGGAGCCAGGGATGAAGGTTAACCGGAGCTCCTGAATTTTGACACTAATTTAAACCCACTGTCCACTGTCTTTAATCTGATTGTTCCCCGTCGATCCATCTACAACCAACTGTCATGTGTTTTTGCAAAAGTTCTTCCCACGGAACAGTAAATACTTTCGTTCGGTTTGAACTTCATCCACTGGCAACAACGCGTCTAAACTTCCCTTTTTTATGCCAACTTGAGTAATATACTCCGGTACCACTTATCTTCTTAGATACATTTTTGGGAGATAATATTATTTACAACACCGAACACCTTACTTCCTCAATTTTTGGGGATAACTCCACCCGTGGCATGGCGAGCTTTTTCAAAGGCGACCGTTCTTGCCCACTCACGCCCGTCCCAGAAGGTGGTGACCAATCCAAACAAAGCCTGGACATGGCCCGCAGCAACAAAATCCTTAGACGATAACCACATCCAATTAAAGGACGAGATTCGTTTTTAGCCCTCTAAAACTCCATTGTGGGATCTTTTACAGCACTGTGAACTGACATGAAATAAAAATGTTGTTGCCTACAACGACGAAGAGAGGGATCAGTACGACGATACTGGCGGCAACTTACTCGTTTTTGGCTCGCATACTGCATCACTTTGACAGCAGACGTTAAGTGTGCAGCCACTGCGGCTCCGGCAAATGGTGGTATACGGACTTATTTACTAAGCTTGAGTGAGCCTACTGACTGTTGATCGGGAGACAGTCGATATGCATACCGACCTCGGCAATCGGCTGTAAAAGCCAGACATTCGGTGCGCGGTTTGGTGGGTGATTTCCCTGGTTCCGCGGTTTCTTATTCTAGAGAATATTTGTAGCATGAGTGGCTCCTGAGAACTCAGTAGTGGACAACTTGACTGTTCGTTTGGAATTTGTAAAAAAAACCGTTCAGCTGTAAGACCTTTCCGGTGCTCAACTGTCATGTCAAAGGAAGCACAAAGGTCGGGATACTGCCAGGTCACCCAAGCATAGACAGGGGAAGTCGAGAGGCTGAGATCGGGTTCGAACCACGGACCTTCCGGTCAGTAAATTCGCGCTCTAACCACTTGGTCCATCTCGCCATCACATTTACTAGAAAATATCGTATATTGTTGAGCAGTGTATTTGACTGTTTGACTGAATGCTGTAAAATCCATTGAAGAGAGTACCCAAGCTGAATTCATCAAGGTCCCTGCCTTAAAATGCAACAAATTCTCAGCAAACAACAGGGCACCGGAGCACCAGTGTTGTACCACTGTGTTCCACAAGCACACATGGGCTGCACATCCGCTACCTTGGGGGCGAGATGGCCCAAGTGGTTAAAGCGAGAATTTACTGACCGGAAGGTCCGCGGTTCGAATCCGACCTCCGCCACTCGACTTGCCCTGTCTAGGCTTGGGCAACCTGGCAGTATTCCAGCCCTCGTGCTTCCTTCGGGTGGCATGGCAGCTAGGCACCGGGAAGGGTGCTCAGCTGAACGCTACCTACATCTGCTACCATGTATCATAAAACAAACCAGAACGTCCTTCATTCGGCCAGGCTGAGGTGACATAATTTTGGAGAGGCAGTTAAGTTCCAACATCCCACCAAACAAACATTTTCAGTAATAAAAGGGAAGTTTTTATCTAACTGTAGGACGTTACTGAGGCCAAAAGACAAGCTTCCACTTACAGTTGACCGAATGTATCGAGCGGTGCGACGGATCCCGCTCTGAACAACGAAACGAACTAGTGTCTGAATCGAAACACATAGTGAACGCAATATCCCTTAATCACATCTAGCTGTCGTGAAATCTACATTGGCAAAACAGACAGCAGGGCCCTAGAACATTTGTGGGTGACCAATAAAGATCTGTAAAATGCGAGCTGAAACCTAAGAACCTTTTCATCGACAGCTAAACACACTGCGACCGTCGGTTGAAAAAAAAGGTTGAGCCTCAAAATGCGTTTTTAGCTCTGCCCCGTAGTGTTACCCCACAGTTATTAGTATTCAGTGAGATTACGTTAATCAACCAATGCTGAACTAGCTTGCGTACGCAAAAAAACCCTGCCTTGATTGACTGACAGAGTGATTGGTTTCGTTGTATCGTTTACCTGCAGTAAAAATGGATTCTCACAGGTATTGCAAATGAGTATACAGAATCAAAATGCCAGGATCTTCGGACTTTTGTCTGCATCGCAGAAATTGATTACAAGGATACAGTGTTTTGAATTGCTTTCCGTAACTAGTCCTTCGGAGGAATTCATAGGCTAGATAGGAAACAGAGTATCAAATGTAAAGACGTGTGTGCATATTTCCCAAAGTGTAGGACGTAAAGCGGCTGTGTTGTGGAAGCTGGGGTACGATGAACAACAGTGCTGTTTTCACAGTATTGGTTGAATGCACACGCGTCAGAAAATAATGCACACTAGCGTAACAGGCCGGGTTAAATCATATACGATAAACGCATATGAACAAAATTTTAAGGTCACCGTGTTTCCTGAGCACAGCATTTGAAATTTGGCCAGGCAACTCAGACAAGTATTTCCCCGAAAGCTATGGCAAAAATCGACCACCGCCCGCCTGAAATACGGATTGCTTTCAAACTGTTTTGGAGTGGACTCGCTTGACTGACATGGCATTCGGACGCTGGTCTGAGAACGATGCGTCTAATGAATGACCACTCGTGAATACTCCACCAAAACAATGTCACAGAGACTAGAATAACGTGGAAAAGACTGAAAGGAAGCTAGTGACAGTTTGAGACTTAAAGCTGAAAAGAACTCGACGATCAACTGTTTGGTTAATGACGCGGAAGTAGCTCGAATGATAGCGCATTAAACAGGCTAAATACAGGTAGCAATCGTAGACCAGAGAACACACTGACTACCTGCGATATGACCAATTGGGCTAGGGCCAATGCCTGTTCTGGCTGCATAGGCGTTTGGTCTGGACTGTGGGCACCTGCCAAGGCCGCCAACTGAGCCGCCAGCTGTGCTGTCTCAGCCAGCTGCTGCATAGAAGTTGGCTGATGGTTGGATGAGTGTGGCTGAACATTGAGATATTGGGCCAGAGCAGAAAGAAATCCAGATGAGAGAGCTGCTGCTGCAAGGTCTGGATTGTGTCCACCAGTTGAGTGACCGGAGAACGATAGTGCCAGAGAGGCAAGGGTAGGGTTCATGGACAACAAAGACGCCAAAGCCATAAATGCTGAAGTTCCATTGACCAAATGACCAGTGTTTCCTATCAAGTGTGAATCTGACTCGATGCTGGTGGTCAAACTGCTCAAAGGATTCGAAAGAGAATTCACCTGGGACCGAGACTGTAAAACGGGGAGACTGCTGTTGACACACATTGAGGAAGTTCCCGGGATAGAAGTTGCTAATCGGCCAGTATCGATCTGGTTCGAAGATCCAGTAGATATAAGGTTGCTCTGTGAGTTAATGAAAGCGAGAAACACAGGTGATTAGGTACGATATCGAGATCAGGAAGCCAATAAGTCAGGTGGTAACCACCAATCAAACTGGCACATTACAATCAATAGATGCACATCAACATCGAAACTGGCAGAAGAACGGAGAACTTAGATAGGATAGAAAAAATAGACATAGATTATAGGGCAACGGGGTTAGGCGGTTAATGCTTCAAATTATTGATACTGAGCCTCAGGTCAGGCTAGAACAACAATGAGACGGCTTCTTAGAGATATTCCGTGGTGCAGAATTATTCGTAACCTTATTGAACGGTAAACCCGGCACATAAACGACAGAAAGTCAGGCTGAGTTGGAAAAAGCCTGGACAAGAGCAACGACTGTTTCACAAGGTGGCAATCGGCTCGCGCAGGTCCAAACGAGAAGGGGTACTCCAAAGATTCAGTTGGAAGAAACTGTTTTCATATCATGTTGACTAACGCACCACGGGTAGCGAACAACGCATCCCGACAATAGCATAGTGCGAACCTTCGCGGTCAAGCGAATCTCATCGCTGAGAATGACGTCTCGGACCAGCCTGTGAAAGTGCACAGCCGAAGGTACAGTCGTACCGTGTGAGCATTCCACGATGTCTCGGGACATCAAAAGTTGATAGTACGATTCTGATAAGTAAGACTTGAAAGCCTTTGGCGAGATCACGTAGCTCACAGTGACTGATGCGTCGCATTATTTTGAAGTGTGTGCACGTGCACACGAGCCACTGCCATGATAAAATTCACCACGCACCACATGCACTGACACATCGATCGGCAACGCGTGTAGGATGACTGCTTTACTGCGCACTTGGTCGTCCGTGGTTCACACAGTACGTGGCTTCGTGAACAATTCAGTACGACAGTGCGAATGAAAGAAGACTGCTGTCAATACTGTTTGATGAAGGGCTTATTCGGAATTGTGGGTATAAACAAACTGGGTTGTTTGTGATTGATGATCCGGACTGGACCATAAAGTTAGATATAGGAGAGGATTTTGACAGTTCGGCTGGAGCGTTTGCCAAAATTGGCAACTTTCTTGCACATTTTTTTTGAAGATTGTTAAACTTAGCGCTTATTGTGATCTTACATCGCTTCCTCCTGTAGTTTACTTAACACAGTCGCTGATTCGGGTTCTGCTAGGCGTCTATTCACGACTCATACTGGATGTCAAATAGAATAAAAGAATAAATTTGCCACATGGCTTTTGCGAAGCTCATGTTACTGAATTGTCTAATTTCGGTCCGCGATAAGCGCTTGATAGAGAAATGGTCCTTTTCAGAGAATCAAGAAGGAAATACATAGAATTTCGCATGTGGAAGCTAACCGACATGAGGAGTTCTTCGAACGCTCGAATCGGTTTGATAAAGAAGTGAGGTTTGTTGGCACCGGTTTTTTACTTTGGTGACCAAGTTGTTCGCTGAGCCCAGCAATTTTGTTACGATAAAACGACGCATCCATCAGAGATTATAAATTATTTGGTTAGTTGATAGACTGTTACTTATTCCATGATAGATTCACATATTCATGCCAGTCATGACACCAGTGTGACGACAAGACTGACTGCTAGGTCAACCGTTTACTGGAACGGGTCAAACAACTCCGTCTGAATGTGCGCGGACTGCCCACCTTTGCAAGCCGGTACTGACGTGTTCGTTGGGTTCCGTAATCCACATGCATCGCATGTCTCTAGATGCTGCTGCTCATTGGAATATCGGAGAGCGGAGTATGCGCTATGGGCGACTGCCTGTAGACGTTATCCATCGGCTGAGCCGCTTTGGCACGACGCACCAAGACGGACGAACCCCGAGAACACACACTTGTTCGATACCAATATCTCGGCCCTGTTTACACTCGGGATAAACCTGCAGCCAACGGCACCCGCTTACACGCAGAAAAACTACACAGCTATGAACCCGACGGGATACCAATAACTTGACTGGAATCAGTTTGATCAGAAACACAGAATGATTGGTGACATGAAACGTCTCAATCCAAAGACCACAGTCAATGTACGAGGTACAAAAACAATTGAGACAACCTAGGCGATACCGCCTAGATAAAAAGTTGAAAGATAGAATGGAAAATATAACGGCGGCCGAACAGGAACACATATCGCCAGAACCAACAACGATGTGCCAAATTTGAAGCGTACGAGTTTCACTTCGACTGGTGCGTTTGGTTACTTAAGACGGATATCAATCATATCGAAGTACTGCCACGCACATAATCTGTGCACAACGATTCGAAACCTGTTGAAACTCGAGAGATCACTGACAACATTGATCGAATTTGGTTTGTCCGAGTGCGCCTAAAGAGTAGCAAACAAACAGACTATGTGGTGTAATCACCTGGCATTCGACGCGGATTAGGCCTACGGTAGCAGTTATACCCAGAAATAAAGCAAACAGTATGAGAAAAGTTAGCTGAACATAGGAGATTCTAGTAGAACTGGATGTACAACAAAGTGTGAAACATAAGAGACTATTTAGTTTTCACGGGGGACTCAAGTGGATCTCTAGTTTATGACGCTTATCAACCGAATATGTTACATAAAGGCTGTTTCAGTTGGTGCGATATTCGAGATTGCAGTAAATTTTTATGAAGAAAACTACCCTTCGACAGCCTGCGACCCGTTTCGCCCTTCTTAAGGCTCATCGGGTAGGCGCAGTAAATGAGTTTCCTCCAACCTGATGTTCCTACTTGGACCCAAATCGGACTGATTGCGACAAATGCACTCATTTGCAATCACTTTGGTTTTCACGGGAGACCCAAGCGAATCTCTCGTTCATGATGTTCTTCAACCGAATGTGCGACCCTGTGAGTAGTTTCCTTCACGAAAGTGTACTGTAGTTCATCGAATCAGTAGTTCACGCGGCATAACTTTACGCATACTTTACGGTAAAAAGTCCCATATTCACCATATCCGACTTTCGATAAGGATGTAGTGGAGATCATTTGGTCTCAAACAGGTTGGCTTAAGTTACTACAGTTTCGGTCACCAGGAAAATTAATGAGTGGTGGAATATAGCCAAGCATTGGATACGATGGGGTAATTAGTCGGTCCTTATTGAATTGGTGGTCACATGAAGGAACAGGAAACTGGGCAGCTACTCCCTGAAGGCCATAGCTTTGACGCAGATGGGCCATTAACCGGGCGATTGAGCCATCCCCACCAGTGTCATTAAATACAGATGAGTTGAGTCCCGAGGTTCCAATAGTTGCTTAGCGCTTTCATGCTTCGTTGCCAGGTAAAAATGCCCATTCCTCAACCATTTCCGCACAAGAAATGTTCGGCCGAAAAGAACACCGAGAGGTAGACAGTCTTCCGGGATGCGAAGTAAATGCCCTGACCAGCGCAACCTACCAAGCGTGAGTAGTTCATCTAACGTGGGAGAGTTTCTTTTTCCTAAAACCACCTGGCATACCTCAACAAATTTAATTCAATGTTTCCTCATTGTTTAGCCTAATGAATCGTATCAAAAGCTGAATAAGCACATCAAGTGTGGATTTGCAGGCCTGAAACAGACAGCCCAGATAGAATTTGCCCATTGGTCCTTTTGTTCTGTGAACTACTGCGGAAACCGGTTTGCAAACAAAGGCTCACTCCGGCCGATGACTCACATACCCTTACCCGAGCAAGCAAATACGTTCACATACGTCACCTTACAGTCCATTGTAAGGACCTAAAACCACGATCGATTGTCCTGACAAATGACCAGTTGATGCAACGGAACACCCGGAAAGCACTGGACGAACGCTTGGCGACCTAATTTGAAGCGAATTTCTCTCACGTTGAAGTGGACAGTTAGGAGCATTCCAGCGCTAATTTATGAAGCCATCAGGGATGGTGATATTTTGTGGAACATTGAAAGTCTTGGATGCCTTTAAAAGTAAAATGGATGTTTCAGTCTTTCACACCAGTGCGAGGTTGAAAGCGAAGATGACAAAAACGAGTGTGGCAAGCCGCATAGACATATGTTGCATGAACTTGGTCGGACCTGTAGGACAGAGCAATAGAATTATCGGAACGTAGCCAACCATAGGAAAGACATCCTAGCAACTCATCCCAACTACCTAGAAGCGCTTCGTACAGAGATTTTTATTCCGAAGTAACTAGCTTCTTCTGGAGGATGAGCAGCCTCTACGGACGTCGTGGGAGACATGCAGCATCAGCAGCTGTGCCCTACAAAGTAACTTGATAATGTGCCACATCGTTCTTGGGGGCAACATATGGCAATTGAATTACGGCCCATGAAGAACGAACAAATAAAATCTGTCATTAGTGACTCCCGAGAAGGTTACGGAGAGATGGCTATCAAAAGCTGGAAACTTAGAGGCAAAAAACAATATAATAGCTCACAGCACGCTTATCTGCAGCCAGCATAAGCACCACAGGCCTAGGTGTTGTCCAGAAAGTGCGGTGAAATCGTGTGTGCAAAAATTGGCGCAATTTTAACCGAAGCAGGGAGTTTATGAAACTAACTTGGAAATCGGGTGAATAGTTGAGTTGTTGCGTTGCAATAGGTGGTACGCGCCCAGCCTGCCCGGACACACTCGTAATGGAGCTTTGGGAAGTCGAAGATAATCCTACGGAATGCTGGAGCCCTGAAGAGCTAACACCATCCACAAGATCATTGGAGGATGGGTGTTCCACTGACACGGATTTGGGAAGCGCATTTAGGGTAGGTGGCGTTATGCCACCACGAATTGGGGAAATACGCGGTCCCGGTACAAACGGAATCCGACCGAAAAGACGGGTATAATCAGCTGTGAAAACAGAAAGAGCAAAATACTAGGAATAGAGGAGGTGGATGTTGGCAGCGGAATAGATTCCCAAAGGGGTTAAACCAGAAAGCTGATAAAAGGTAGAAAACTGTAGACGACGATCATAAGGCGAAATGTAACAATCGACAAAATAATCATTCAGCTGTGACACCTCTTCGGTACGTAGCTGCCATGAAGCCCGAAGGATGCACGAATACCGAGATACTGCCCGGTTGGGCGTGCCTAGACGGGACAGTCGAGGTGCTTAGGTTGGTGTTGCGCGTTAACCACTGAGCTATTTTGAGCTCCTACACATAATCGCCGGTGGTGTAAGTTGGACAGCCGACATGCCTGGGTTGTGCTGAATTTTGATTGGCCCTGGAGAGTGTAAAGAAGGTCCGGAGACGCTCACCGCGTTCATGTACATACTCACGGCTTTGGTGATATTTGTGAGTATTATTATCCTGAAAAGAATTAGCTTTTCAGAAAATCAACCCGAAGAATAAGCCTGACCACTGAATCGATCAAGGACCGAATAACAGGACCCAATATCAGTGTGACGTTATTGGCCACATCGACTGCACCATAACAGCTGTCGGAACGAAATGTGATATCAACTTAATCAGTTACTTTCATCGGCCTGCTGCACCAGCATGGTTCAAACATATCAGCCGAAACGAAACAGCAGAATATAGATCATGATCAACAGAAAACATCAGTCACATCGGGATACAAAGAACCGCCGGGGAAGTAATTTAACTTGGGCAATTGTTAAGCGCAGCATTCAGGAACGCGATATTTGCATTTCAAGACAATTCTACGATGGGTACGGAATAAGTTGGGACGCAGCAACTTCATCTAGGCTGCTGAGTTGCGCAAATGGGCCTCAAGTCAATTCACTCGACTGCTTTGTAGAGTCAATAATGAATACCTACGGCAGTGGTAGGCATGAAACGGAACAAACCAATATTATAATCACCTCAACCAATGGTGCGTATATTTCATGTGTCAGATGGGAGATAGGACAGTGGTTACGCACGTTACAAAAAGGTGAACATCAAGGACTACATTCGGAATAAAGACTGAAGAAATTGCTAAGATGGAAAGTGCTAGGAGTGCCCATCTCACGACTCAGCTCGAAACCAACAGGTATACATACATATTGTCTATAAAAGCATCATTGGGTTCAGGCGTCACCTTCGATAACAATGGTGGCTAAATTTGATTTCATAACGTGTTGGCTTGCTGTCCGGCGGTGACATTACCTTAGACGGTAAAGCGCAGTTAGGCCACAAAGCAACTCAGTTTAGAACTGCCGGTCGTCGAAGCGCATTAAAAGTTTGACCACCCAAGCGAAAGAGGACTTTTTGAGCCTTGTGTTGGGTAAAAAAAGCTTCGCTGCAATGTATTCCGCCCACTGTATAGGTGTGCAAGCCCACAAGAGTTAAGATGTTTCGAAAAAGGACAGTGGTTGAAATCTTTGGGAGATAAAATTCTAAGGGAAAATACTTCCGGCAACGCACCGAAAAGTTAGTGGTTGGTGTGTGCGCACAGCGTCAAAATCTGTATTTCTGAGCGGTCGTCAAATCATGGAGGGGGTGGTCAGAAGCCGTGTAAGCAACGAAATAAAAGAGCAGGATTAAGACAGAGAGTGACTGAGCTTCACGGACTACACGCAAACTCCTTGGACTTTGCGGAAAGTGACAACGGTAACGTCATGTTTTCAATCGTTCAGTCGTCTGTGATGTGAAACTTAGCAAGCTAAGCGGAAACAACAAAAACACGAGCATGTCGTGCTTATGGAAGAATGATCATTCACCAAATCTCTAAACTGAAAAGTGCTTGTATTCCGTGTCCCGTACTTTTCAGCTGGCATGCACGTCAGTAATGCACCCAAATTTGTCGATAGTTTACATACGGTGGTAGGAGGACTGATCCATAAGGGTCGAAAGTGGTATATCCGGATTATCGACATAAAGTTCATTTGGAAACAGCAATCCATGGAGTTGGGGAACATTGCAACGAAGTGGATTTAGTGTCACATCTTCATAGAATTTAGAATCTAAGAGAAGGAATCTGATGATCAACAACTCATCCGTCCTAGCGCAGGCGGCCACCAGCAGTGCGGTCTAAGCATCAGGTTAATGACCGATTGTGTAGATGAGCGTATCTACGGCGCGGAAGATGGCACGCCTGCAAAAAGCACTTCCGCCATCCCACTTTACCTCAAAAAAATATCATACGAACAAAGTGAACAACTGCGGTAAAAGAACAGCACACTCCGAATTGCGCACTGCAGTGACCCAACAGCGAGAGGAATGAACGCAGTATGAGGAAGCTAGAGTTGCCGACAGTAGAACACAGATCTCTTACTATGATCGTCAGTTTGTTGAACTGTGTACTCGGGACGGAGGAGCAAGAGTCCACTAGTCATTCGCACCGGCAGAGTTGGTTCAAGTAAATCATCTGTACCTAGTGAACAAAGCATGATGGGACCTCGTGTAGTAGGCCAGCTATCCGCAAAAAACATCGGGATGTTAAACACCAGTCGTCACTGTTAAGAACAAGGTTTCCCGCTACGTTACCGCACGACAGCACCGTTCTGGAAAAGGAAATGGTGCCAAATATGGTATGGAGAGTTTGCGAGGGACGTGGCCGAATAATATAAATCAGCGCCGCTGAGGTAATTCTTAGCAGTCATTGCATCCGGTCCACGGAATTCGGAGTAAAAAACACTAGTAAAAGTCACGAGACCTAGGTGGGACGAACAAACAATCAAAATAATGGTTCAGCTGTAGCACCCTTTCGTTTCCTGGCTGCCATGCCAACGGAACGAGGTACGAGGGCTGGGATACTAAAGGGGGGGGGCAGTCGAGATTCTGAGGTTGGATTCGAACCACGGATCTTCCAGTACGTAAGCTGACGCCTCAGCCACCGAGCTATCTTGAGGCCTAGGTGGAAAAACGAGATTTGAGCAAGGAACTGGAGTTCGTGCTCCTCTTGAGAATGACGGATCATGAAAGTCTAGTATCTTAGTAGTGCGGTGAAAAGTCTTCCATATCTGGCAAACGCGTCGCATTTTGCCTTGGTTATGCATATGAGATGCGGTTGGTTGAAGTGATTTGTGAAGCGTTTCATCATACTGCAAACCTTAGACATCCAAACAATGCGACTGAATCCGCTAAGTCTGGCTCCACCTTTCACGTCTTCGCGCGAAATAATGACTGCGATCCGTCCGACATCAGGTTCAACGTTTTGTTCTGCGTCTCCTGTTGGAAGTAAAAATATTAGCACGTGATGCGATGGCTCTGCGCGTTTACGCACATGTAAGCGTAATTATTGATCCGGCAAGACGTGCGCGTTTCCATTGCGTGCAAGGTTCTTATTCTGAACGAATGACCCCGTTGGCGGACTCACTCGTGAGGTTCCAAAAACACTGAATTTTTCAAGAAAGTTTGAGGGAACATGACAGGGATTCTACTCATCATAACTCTTCTTGCTTTGTGTGAGATCGAAGAACCACGTAACAATTCAGTGGTACGACTGTAGCAGCCAGTTACAATATTCTTCGAAACCATTACAATGTGGTTCCATTTGGTTATGAGTGATGGCTCTGTCAAACTAGAAACCTAAGCATCAGATTGGAAAATCACAATGGTCAAAATTTCACAACTATCCCTTGCGGATGCATGAGGAGGGGTATGGGTATAATTACGTTCGAAACAAGGTAATATATCCCATTAATTCATGTCAGTTAACATTTGCCCTCGAACTTTTAGTGTACGAAAGAGTGAGCGTCAGTTAAGCCTAAGTAGAAAAGTATCGGTGTGCAGAAGTAAACGGGTGGATGTCTCAACAGAAGGTGTAATTTCGAATACGCTAGAAAGGCAAGAGAAAGTAAGAGTACTGGCTCACACTAAAAGCCTAAGAAGAACATCAAGAATCTTCGCAGGGTTATCGAATAGATCCATGGGGGTACATTAAGCTGGACAATACCGGGAAGAGAACGTCTTCACTGCAAAATTATCGTCACTGGTGACCAAAGCAGTTCCACATACAATGAGGTTAAGCTCTTTTTTTATCGAGAAATACACTCATTTGCATATCAATTTGGTTTTCAGGAAAGACTCAACTGAATCTCTCGTTTGTGATAATCTACAACTGAATGTGCTGCACACAGACCGCCCCGTGATTCAGTCGGTACGATATTCGATATCGTAGTATATTACCATAAACGAGAGATTCAGTTGAGTCTCTCGTGAAAACCAAATTGATTTGCAAACTAGTATATTTCTCGAAGAAACAGTCCAATCTGGGTTCAAGTAGATCATAAGGTTAACCGAAACCCGGGGACTGCGCCTACCTGATGAGCCCCAAGAAGGGCGAAACCGGTCGTTGTTGAAGAGTTTCCAGTATCCTTGTGAGTAGTTCCCTTTATGAGGTTAAGCTCTGTTTTTCAACCGAAAACATGCAGAATTTAGGTGGATTCGAAGTGTCAGCATTCAGGCAGTGCAAGAGGATGATGGAGATCAACTGAGACCAATCAAGCAAGACAAAAGCAGAGAAAATAGTGAGTTAAATGATAAAAATGAGCCAGTGGATAAAAACGACGTGATTGGGAACGCGACCCCATCATCTCGAGACATACCACGGTTGAGAGTCTTATTATGGAAGAAGATACTATCCGTCTTCGCCATTATAAGTTCGGTTAAGAGCTTGAACTCAAAAGGAAACAATCAGCAGTTCTTTTCATAGAGCGCTCAAGTAACTATTAAACGAAGACCCTCATGTGTCCGTCACTGCTCGAACACAAGGACTAAGGAGGATCATCAGTACATATCTGAAAGAGAGGTATCGCCGCGAACAAACAATATCGACTGAGTAAACGAGTGCTTTTAGATTTGAGACGACGACTGTTAATTTTCCCTACATGTCGGAAACATTAACCCACGTGATTAAGACAGCCAAAGACACCTTCGTTCCAAGATCTAGATATGTGTGGC